AAAAAAAAAAACAAAAAAAAAAAAAAAAACAAAAAACAGGCCAAGACAATCCTCCCCTGAAACCGGGGCCAGTATTCTCAACAAAGCTTCATGAACGGAAATCAATCTGGTCAAAGGAAAACTGTGATGGCAGCTTCGGAGGCGGCTTCTAAGAACGTCCTAATAGGATTTCTGAGAAATGAAGTCTCACTTCAAACATCTCTATGGGCCGTTTAGCTACATTCATTTGGAAGGTGTTATTATTTTGGGAACAAGGAGATTCCAGGCTTTCAGCAAACACCACCATCTATGAAGCCTGGTAACATCAATAGCATAAGGGGAAAAAAGGAAATTTCTCTAATCTGTCTTTGCCTCACTCAAGTATTTCATGGATAAATTTGTTTTCTAGTTTTTAGTTTTTGTTTTTTTGAGACAGAGTCTTACTCTGTCACCCTGGGTAGAGTGCTGTGGTGTCACACTTCACAGCAACCTCAAACTCTTGGGCTCCAGCAATCCTTTTGCCTCAGCCTTCCAAGTGGTTGGGACTACAGGCACCTGCCATTACGTGCGGCTGGTTTTTCTATTTTTGGTAGAGATGGGGTCTCCAGAGCACAAGCAACCTGCTGTCTAGGCCTCCCCAAATACTAAGATTTCGGGCATGAGCCACCACACCTGGCCTCACAGGTAAATGTTAACACAAAATTAGTCACTGTGGCCTGCCATCCTCTTATCTATGTTTAAAGGCCTGCCACCTGCTACCATTCCAATAACACCCTTGCCTATCTCAACCCCAAACAGCAGCCTAGGCAATAGTGTTTCCTCCAAAATGAGAAGCAGAAACATAAGAGGCTAGTGGGAAGGTGCTGGTTTCCAAGTCTTTCTGCATGACAGTTCCTAGACACTAATTCTTTTCAGAACCCAGATCCACCCTTGAAAATGGAAACCTGGGGGTCGGCACCTGTAGCTCAGCAGCTAAGGTGCCAGTCACATACACTGGTGGGTTCGAACCCAGCCAGGGCCTACCAAACAACAATGATAACTACAACCAAAAAATAGCTGGGCATTGTGGCGGGCACCTATAGTCCCAGCTACTTGGGAGGCTGAGGCAAGAGAACTGTGTAAGCCCAAGAGTTGGAGGTTGCTGTGAGCTGTG